TGTCTATTTTTGTGTGATTAAGATTCTGGGTATCTTTGCATGTATGTTTATCAACAGAATCTAGCTAAAAATTCTGTTTTTTTTTAAGCAAATCATGTTTCTTCTCTGTTATTTCTCCACTGTAAACAAATTAGATTGATTTTTGAAACAGAATCTATTTTTGTTTGTGTTTCATATTCTTGATTCCGACTATAATTTAAACCAAAAACCCCTAGAGAGAGCGAAGTTTGGGAAGAAGATTCACTTACAGAGTTTATTATATATAATTAGGGTTTTTACTTTACTCTCTGGAATTTTCAAGACTGGTTTTTTTAATGTGTTTTGTTGAAACAGGACAGTGCAGCGATTGTAATAAAGCAACCAAAGAAGTCACCTTTGTTCTTAAGAATGATAGTTTTGGTGTTTGCTATGGTTTGTGGTCTCTACATTTGCTCCGTTTGCTTAAACCAGTTCGGTTATGTCAGTTTCCAAAGCTCCCAACTTGTTCCAACTCCTCTTGATGCTTCTCACTCGTTACACTTTGTTAGTCGGATTCATTACCCAAAGCCACAGACTTTTAATCGGTAACTATTATCACAATATCTGTTCTTAATCTCTAACTGGTTTTGATGTTTGTTGGTTTGTTTCAAATCTTTTGATTGGGTTTCCTTAAAACAGATCTGAATGTGGGAATAATCCGGTGAGGTTCTTTGCGATATTGTCGATGCAGAGATCCGGAAGCGGTTGGTTCGAAACATTGTTGAATAGTCATAGCAATGTGAGTTCAAATGGCGAGATTTTCTCGGTTTTGGATCGGAGAAAAAACATTTCTGCAATCATTCAGACTCTTGATAGAGTTTATAATCTCGATTGGTTTACGAGTGCTTCAAAGAATGAATGCTCTGCTGCAATTGGATTCAAATGGATGCTTAACCAGGTAAATTAGAAAACGAAAAACTTGAATCGGTTCCGGACCAATTACTTGCCGGTTTTATAGTTTTTTTTGATCTGGTTGTGTGTAGGGTTTGTTGGATAATCATAAAGAAATAGTAGATTACTTTAACCGAAGAGGTGTCTCGGCTATATTTCTGTTTAGAAGGAACCCTTTAAGGAGAATGGTTTCTGTGCTGGCAAATTCTTATGACCGTTACGCTAAACTATTGAACGGAACTCACAAGTCTCATGTTCATTCTCCTGAAGAGGTTTATGTTATATGCCTACAAAT